AGATATGTGGAATGTGATAAGGCGGATGTCTCTACTGGGCATATTGGGATTAATATTTTTGAGGGGGTTTTAGACTTTGACATGTTGGTGGATGCCAAAACCAAAGCTTTGGTCATTCGAACTGGGCGACTAATAAAAAGATTTTAGAATTTCAATTATCCCGATTTAGCGCCCTAAGTTCCCCTGCATGTTGAATGATCTAAATTTAAGTCTCTACTGAGTCCTAGACTATGAAAGACTACTTCGGGATTATTGCAACCAATTCATCAATTAATGGGTTAATTTCCAGTTTGAATATTACGATTATATGCTTGTTGATGCCCATGCAGGTAATTTCTGGAGATGTGTTTTTTTGTAGAATTACTCATCTTCACATTTAGAACGATTTCACTCAGATTTTGTTCGCAGATAACACTTGGAGTTAACCCTTACGGCCTTCGGCTTCTTCCGTGTATACCCACTAAAGGGAAAAGCGTGAAAACCCTATAGTTATCCGAGTGAGTTTTCCTCATCCCACAAATACGATATCTCGGCGAGAGAATACAGGATGTGGGTATTACTTGAATTGAACCAGCTTTCTCCTCCCTCGAGGGGAGCTATTCTCAACACCTGCCAGTGGTGTCCCCTGCGAACCTCCAGCTCTCAGCATAGAGTCTACAGATCCGAGATTGAGTAAAATCCTCGTCCCGAATTCGATGATCATACCCAATCGCTTTCGCTGTCTGTACCGTCTCATCCATCAATACATCCCCTATCACAACTACCATGGAGCTAACTTCGATCAGATCAGATGGTAGGGTCGAATCCCTACTCATCACCCATCCTTGATCATGGAGGAGAAGCCATTCCATGAGTTTCTGGAGCGTAACTAGCACCCGATACGGAGATGGTGGATTGGATCAAGTCGGCCTCGACTGTTACAAAGAAGGGAGATGTAGATGAATATGCGCACCTCATGTGGCCCCGGTGTCTAGGCCTTGCCTGGCTGGCTAGGGCTGCAGGTTTTTGAGACTTTTTCCCGCGCACGCAGTTTCCATTGCTACCATTTTATTTTTTTGAGGATAGAAAGTTCCGTGGAAAAGGTTGTTATGACATGAGACAACGAAGTAGTCGAGACTAGAACATCGCGTGTGGCTCAAGGTCACAGCATTTATCACTAGTGTACTGGTTAGGCGAACATGTTTATAGTTTCATAGATTTACCCACAATAAATGGATACAAGTTTTGTCTTACACTTTCTGTCCATACACCTAAAGCATAATATTATATGAGTCTATTCACTGTCGCCCACTAAATATAACATCATCCACTCCACATCGCTCCGAAATATGACTTCCGCATAGCTCGTAACCATAATAAAGGTGACCGAATTCCAAAAATAAATACTGAGCCGAATGGTTATTCATCACGGGCAATATATCAATGATATTTCAAGTAACAATAGAGTCAAGGAGCACTCTGAAAGGTGTGGCCTGGGTCAGAGAGAAGCCCAATGCGCTAGATAGTCTATGACTCAAATAGTACAATGAACACACCTCTCTATCATCAAATTGAAGGGCATTTTGCTTACCAAGCATTCGATTGCAAGAGTCTAACTGGCACAACAGAAAAGAGCCAACAATAAATGTTGCCATGGTCCATCTGATAGTGTAGTCCGTAATCGTTTGAGCAGCCTGGGAAACTACTCTACGTGGAAAGGAGAAGCCTGAGACAATATTTCGCATAGAGACTAGCCAATGAATTATGGAGGCATGACTAGATAACTCTGGGGTTTTGAGAAACTTCCTTACGTGAGTACTCACAGATGAGGGCTGAATTTGGGTGAAAAACGGCCAGCACGACTCTGCATAACTAGTTGTGAATGAAATCTGAAGCATGAATGCTCGATTTCCAAATCGAGTCATTTATTATGTACTTGATCCCTGATACTATGTCGTAGCTAGATAGCTGCATACGCCACCGAAATCTGATGCAGAAAATGCATACTCCTTAATGTTGTTTGCGAATAACAGCTAGAAAATGGGGTTGAAATCTAAGTATCTATTGCACAAGTTAAAAATATAACGATCATATCTCAGGGATAGTAAGCTGTAAATCCATTAAAATTTTAAACAAGTAAACTAACTATTGTTTCAACGAGTATGTAGCTTAAATGGCATATGCTGTGAGCTGAAATGCGGTACTTTACAACTTGATACGAGTATAAAGTTTGTCCCAAATACTTGAAGACCCTCTTAAGGGTAAAAGCTTGAAATATTCAAGATAGTCATGAAAGATTGTATTACCCAATGTTGTCCTCGGTGATAGAGCCCCGCCCATCATGATATAGAGCTGGAAAAGAGCTGGAAAAGAGCAGATGGTTGTTTTTTGGGCCGAAGAAGAGGCCCTTAATCTTCGCGAACTTGGCTTAATCTTGCAGAATCCGGTCAACTACATCGTGGCTTCGCCGGCAAAGACTAATTCCCCCCTTCCAGTGGTGCCGGTGTAACCGCTCAGGATGCTCTGCATATCTGGGATAGCCAAGAAGAATCGCATCCAAATCGGAGTCGAAGGCACTCACAAGCACATCTAAAATCGACGACTTCCCGTCAATGTCGGATCTATCATTCTCACGCGAGTCCTCAACCTCAACCTTACTACATCACCTCGCCTCAAATACCGATAATGGCGTTACTCCAATTGCAATCGGGCATTTACCTCATCAAAAACCGGCAATCCTTCACTACAAAATTACGATGCTATGTATACCCGCGAGGAGGAAATAAAGTCGAAATATACAAATCCTGGGTCCTAGCTCATGGGGAATGTTATTCTAAGGGGAAAACAACATGAAGGAGGACAGGCAGCTGGGACGTAGGATGAACGAGTGAAAAGGTCATAAATGGGCATACTGGGACGCACATTTTTTGAGTGTTTTCGACTTACGAGTGTTTATAGGCGCAGAAGTAATGATTTTGGATGGTGCAACCGACACTCTAAAAACAGGCAAAGATAGAAGATATTTTGGTCCGCCTCCTGGTCGTCATCTCCACAAATTAAAGTCTGGGTAGCCTGGACACCTACTACACTCGAGAAAGGGATGACTGCGAGGCCATTTCTTGCGCGATGGCTGTGTTTAAAAAGAAAAAGGCATGTTAAAGAAGTCAGGTTATTCCTAATTTTCTTTTGGCGGATATTCACGGTTGATGGAAGGTTGAAAGTTCCTAGCACAAAGTTCTCGAGCGGTATCAGCTAATGCACTCACTACATGATTGGTCCAAATGTCGAACTGATTTATTTCCATATTTAGTTAACGGAAAAGGACAAGTCTTCTCCGTGTCATGCCCTACAAGTGCTAGGCTTGTGCCCATCACGAATAAATATCTAACTATCTACATCGTGGCTGGAAGCATACGCCAAAGAATCACACTTGGCTTGTCCATAGTTCAGATTAAATCGACCGCAACGCGAGCAAGGCGACGTGGTCGCACAAGGCTTTGCTCAACATACCTTATATAGTTGTTTGCCTTAATAGTTATGACACATGAAAACTTGCACGTCTGAATGTCAATTTTATCTATCATCTTAAGATATAATCGTGCCTCAGACGTTATTTGTTAATATCACTATGGAGTACGTTCACCCAATGTAGTCAATCGCCGTCCACGAGTTTTACTCAGGAGATAAATTTCGCATTTTTAGTTGTCTTACCGTACTTCTGCTTTACAGCAGTAAAGCCATGTCTTGATGTGATTGGACGGAATATCCATCAAATTGAACAAAAGTATCAAAGCTCTCCAGTTTCGGTTCGGAATAATGATGAATTAGTACACCACCGTATTATCTCACTGCAGACAAAGCAAGATCCTCAAAATCCAAGGAATAATTTGAACTAAATATATTGGCATGTAAACAAGAAATTATAAGTTAATCATTCAGCTTTTAGCAGTCTTTTGTAGACAAAGGCTCAGTGTGTGGATCCCAATTGACGGAAAACCGACAGTGCAAATTCTGCGCTGTTGATTGGCTCACTTGGTGTGAGGGGAATATTTGAATAAGTTGGCGATCTTGTATTGTCAAGAGGAATTCACGTATTTTACAGTCTCAAGCTTTACTCACATATTATTGTCTATTAGTCGGAGCCACGAGACACCTGCATGAGATCATATTGATCATTAACCGACCAAACAGAAGCCACAAGTAGAGACTCATTTGATTTGATTTTATTAAGCCCGTTCAGGTAACCCATGGGCCAATGCAGGTATATCTAGTTCTAATATTTACAAGAGAGGAAACCAACTCGGTAAAAACCCCCCAAAACTGTCTGACTCGTATCTATTGGTTTTCTGAGGTTTCCTACAGGAATTGCTTTTACACTGTACGTCCAGTGTGAATACCGTCTTATCCTTTTACCGATTGCTCAATCCTTTCACTGACTGCTGTCTCAACTTCTTCTGTAAGCCGGAAACGTTCAAGCCATCCGTTAGTAAGTATCCACTCTGTAATTCTCTTTATGTCATCCGGGCTGTTCATCATAGCTTCAAAAGCCCTATCTTTCGCCCGTTGCAGCACCTCTCCTCTTCCCTTAGCCCATTAAGAACAAGCTATGACCATATGTTTCACGTCTTGTGACAGATATCCACACTGGCACTTGGGATTTTCCACTCCAGGGGCCTTTCTTCTGTGTGGATAAGAATTGTGGCCGACATGCTCACTTCTTATCTTTATTGAAATATTACTTTGGGCCCTGCTCAGGATTTTGTGGATGTTAGAGGGAGTTCTCTTGTTGGTGTTTATACTTACGGAAGTAGAGACTGATAAAATCTAATCTAATCCCTGTTCTTGCTTGAACAGGGGGTTGTAAAAAAGGTTGGTGTCCACCACAATCATGCAGGGGTACACAATGGAGACGTCATAGGCATACAACAGTACTTAGTATATGTGATACCAATATGTGTAAGTCCAGACCCTAATACTGATAAATAACTGCTCATGATATCCCAAATAAGGCCGAGCTAGCCATGCAGGTATCATACACCTGCCGAAGTGCACTCCATCTCTCTAGATTTTCCAGCAATATCAAACAAAGCTTCGGCAGTCATTGGCTAAATCTCGGAAAAAAGTTTCATACACATCATGCTCAGAATTATCCATCTCTATCCATTTCTAACAATTTCCCCATTCAATGCTTGAGCCTCAGACTTTCCGATTATTCAAAAGTAAGTTCATTTCCGAGTTTCTGGAAATCTAATAATACTTTTACCAGATCCAGAATGAGATTGCCCGGGACAAGATAGCCAAATATTTGAGACCGGGTCTTCAATACGGGGCCGGAGAACAGACAGATAACAAACAGCGTCAAACACTCCTGCTTCTTGCTACCCCAACACACGCAGCTTGGTTGGAAACCCATAATGTTCAAAGCCTCTTAGATAAAGTAACGCTACCTGTGTCTCACCCAAATACTAGTGAAATTGATGTAATCTGTGCATGCGTTGACGGTCTTGCTCCAAGTAAGTAACTTTAACAATCCAACCATTCGTACCTCCAATGAATAGGAGATCGTACTGAATATTACCATAAAGGCATCACAGAGCTCGGTTTAAAGAAAGAACATACCAGAGAGGGAATATCAATACTACTTGGTACGACTACAGTAGACTCTACAGAATTGTTGTACGGAGCATCAACAACAGCGGTTACCTCCGACCAAAAATGTAGTCTAAAATTTCACATTAAGCATGATGAAAATATTATACCTTACTGCGAAATTACAACTCCCTTAGCAAATACAATTTTTACCAATGGGAGGCGCTCCACCCTTTTGATTTCACGATGGCAAAGAAAAGAAGGGAACCTGGCGATAGTCAAACCACCATCGTACCGATCAGAGGCCTCAATTAATCTATCAATTTCTCAAAGTAAAAATTTTTTCGATATTCCCGTTTCCCCTCTAACATTTCCTCGACAAATTCAAAGCGGGTTAGGAAATATAGTACGAAGGCTTACAATTGAGGGAGCGTCAGCCGTTCCAGCATCACAAGAGCTGGAGAAAGCTGTGATGGAAACTAATAAAACTCCAACTAAAAACCGTGATAACAATGTATGGGCTATGATTATGCCACCCGGAATGACTAGACAAAAAGGTGAAATCACAGAGAGAAACCTAGGTCACGTAGATAAAATTAGAAACGATCATTCACACATAAAAGATCTTATTATGAGAGGAGCTAAAATGTACAGGGTCTGTAAGTATTTTTCTTGATAATTTGAAACTTAGCCCTAACGTTTTCTAGTAAGCGGTGGTGGTGGCTGGGGTAACAAAGAGGGTTTACTCGCCTTGGATCCAGAAACATCGTTCGAAGGGCAACATGTAGCTGGAATAAATTTATCTGATGACGATATGAAATATCCAGAAAAATATACAGACGCCCTAGCAAATATAGCTCAAGAAGGAGCTTTAATCCAGTTCTATCATATGATCAGTAGGCAACCATCAGGCATTACACAACATAGATGTACGACTGAAAATCAAATTGTTATCGGCAGTGTTTCTAGCACTGTTGATGACATGGTTTCAGCCTCCGATCCAGGTACTTCATTTATTGCTGGTCACTTTGGTTGTGTCTCTGAATCTGGTATATTCTTTCAGTCGGCGGAAAATTCATCAACGAAAATTGATGTTCCACATTCTTACTTCTACGGTAGAAGAAGTAATACAACTACATGAAAATCTGCCTGACCATCGGGTTGTGGGAAGATATTCACTTTAGTTCTTACTGAAGTCGATCAATATCGAAGATACTTCGAATTGACAGATAATAAGACTAGCTAGATATAGATAGTAGTCTGTTCCTTACTTCCTCGTGATCACTTACTGTTCCCTCTATATGTACAACATAGAAAGAAGAAAGAGGATTTAATTTAATTTTTTTGCATCAAACTTTGATTTTGCATAAAGCTATCTAGCTATGACACAATATCAAAGAAAAGTACATGATAGATGACTTAATATAAAGGAAGAGCTCTCACGCCTTGGATTTCATTTGCAAGTACCACTGCGAAGTCATGGTGGCATTTTCTTCACCCCAAGTCAACCCTCATCCGTGAATACCCACACAGGGGAACGTCTCAAAAACCCTGAGTTATCCAGACATGCCTCCGTCATCCATCGACTTTTCTCCGCGCGATATGTAGTCTCAGGCGTCTCCTTCCCAAGTGGAGTAGGTGCCCAGGCTACTCAAACCATACCGGAGAACACCAACAGGAGGCGGACCACGGCACCTTTCATCGTCTGCTTATTTTTATAGTGTCATCTGCACTCTAGACCATGTGATTGGGGCCATGAAAAACATCGTCATATAGAGAATTTCGCTGTAAAGGACATTATTATCTAATCCAGCTATCTAGGCTACTTTTTACCTTCGAAGCCTCTTCTACACTCCCGATTGCCGTCTTTAATCGCTCTAATACACTCAAGGTCAGGCCAGTTTCCAGTTCGCTGTCGTAGCGCAGTAGTACTTGTAGCTTCGCAAAGGTATAGCTCAAAGACTTGGAGACTTTGGACTGGCTTAATCGATGGCCGTACTCAGCGAAGAACCACTCAATGCACTGTTTTTGTGTTGGTTTTGGGACCTGGCGGTGCGCCCATCATCGCAGAGCACGTCACTGCTCTACAGAAATTCCCTTCTTTGGCGGCATTTTTAGCACCAATCTAACCTGGTTAAGACGATATTAATAGGTTGAAGAACGATAATCGAGTATTCTGTAAATGTAAGGGAACGGAGTCCGTTTCGGAAAAAATATCGTATAAACTGCAATATCAGCTTAACAGGGGTCTTACTGTACTACTAAAGCCCCATCCCTGAGGGGACATGGTGACTAGAAGTTAGAATGATGATATATTTTTTTTTTTCATACGCAATTAAAATCTGATAAAAAAAAAGATGATATTTTTATCGTGACCGGGTACTACCCCAGCACTCAGAGAGCATGGCACGGTTAGTCCAGATCTATATAAGACTCTTCGCTACCTACATTATTTTTCGTAGAAACTTAGAAAGGCCAAACTAAAAACAAGTAAAACCACCATTTCTAAGATGCAGTGCCCTGCAATACACCTTAATCTTCGTACCACACCGAACGGTCCCAAGAAGCATCACAGTTGACCTTTACACCCCCTGTTCACGATTCAGTCTGGCTGTAACATTTTGTTACAGTCAAAAAACGCCAGAATTTCTGCCATCCTTCTTGCCCTACCATATTTCTTATCATAGGTCGAGTTTCCTTCGTTTCCGTGCGGCACTCTGCAAAACGCCATGACCGCTTTTCTCGGCTGCATTTGCAGAGAATTTCTACCTTCTGGCGTTGGAACTGTCTGTGATAACCGGCCAAGTCACTACTCCCAGTCCTCGCTGAAACGAGGCGGTGATATGCCCACGTAGGTAGAACTAGCTCTGGAGGGCGTTTTCTTCGTATCAGTAGGTCCAGATCTTCATACTTATCCGTTCTGTTCTTATGTCACCAATCTACCGCCAGTTTCTGTACGTGGAATGTAACTTGGCTTTTGAGAGCTGCAAATGTCAGGACTTCGTGGGCTTCCTCTTAGATGATATTAGGTCTCGGTAAATTCCCCTCCCTAGTCTTTGCTGTAAGTGCTGCCTTTACTATCGCATCGGCCTTTTCGTTTCCTGCTATGCCGCTCTGGCCCGGAATCTAGCAAACCTTTATCGAGAGTCGGGTCCTACATAGTTCCTTCAATTTCTTTACCTCAAAGTATGAGGAATTAGTTCTACCGCTTGTAAGAGCTTCTACTGCCTCTTGATTATCGAGGAGCACATTTAGATTGGCACTACCTCCAAATTCCAACGCTGCTTCTAGGCCTTTAACAGCCCCAGTAATCTCTGCATCATAGATCTCTACTCTAGGAAGGAATTTTCCAACGCCTGATAAAAGATCCCTATCTTTGTAGATAGCTTAGCCATAGGCTGAGTGTGCTGCACCATTAGATGATCCATCTGAATAGACACACAGGGCTCCTACTGGTAGGCCCCAGAGCCAGATCTTGATCCGCTTCGCCTTTTCCTCTATTACATATGGCCTTGACAGCAGCTATGGCTATCTTTGGTCCATATAGATGCCCGGGATATTCTGATGCTGGGTGACTAAGATTCTCGTTCTGTAGGCGTGTTAGATACCGTTCCGGAACTCTGAAAATACGATCCTTCTGCCACCCTCGTGGTTTGAGTCGCTTGATTGCATCCTTAGATATCTCAACTGCCCTTGATGCCGATGAGTGATAGCTGTCGAGTCGGCAGATTCTGGCTACGCTTTGGAGCTGTCGGAGCTATAGCATGATTTCTGCTGGTAGGATTCCTGATTCCCGGTGCAGAACTATATTTAGTGTAGTTCGCCACACTGGTAGTGCAGCTCGAACTGTAGTCAAAATTGTCCTCTACAGAAGTTTAAGGTGCCGTCCGAAGCCTGTACTTTCTCTTTTATCCCGTATCGTCGTAATATGAGTAAGTCCAGGCCACCAAGCTTCAGCGCTGTAGACTGCGGTACTAACTACACACGCATTAACCGCCCGAATCAAAGGTCCGGAAGCCGCACCTCGCTGTACCATGTTCACACTACGTAAGAAGTGAGATAGCTGTTGTGCCTTACTACACCATTCCTGAACATGTTCTCTGAATTTCAGTTGCAAGTCGTGCCAAACTCCGAGCCATCGAATATATGGAAATGAGGTAATAAGCTGTTCACCTACTCTAACTGTGAGGTTCGATGAGTCAAGATTTTTCTTCGGTCCTCCCCCAATAATAAGTAACTCAGACTTCGAAGGGTCGAATCTGATAATATGTGTTGAAGCGAGTTGGACTATCCAGCAACTTCCTCCTGGACAGCCTTTACAGCTTTGCTAGGCGTATTACCGACTTTAACAATGGCGATGTAGTCTACATAGCCAAATCTGCAGCTGGAAGAGCCATTCTCAAGCAGAGTGGCGATATATAGCATGCAAAGCAGTAGTGAGAGTGGTGATCCTTGCGGGACACCGCACTCAACCAGCTTTTTGTCAGTGAAACCTTTTTTGTATCTTACACGGGCTCTTCGCTGTTTCAAGAATGATTCTACCCAGCGACAGAGAGATAACGGACAGCCTTGCCTTTGAATTTGTGCAAGCAGCTGATTGTGTAGCACCTGTTGTGCTGGTGATACATAGGATTACGATGCACAAGGGTAATGATCACTGAGGGTGAAGGAAGAACTTTCCAGGTGGCTCCATGATGAGTAGAGGAACAATGGAGCACTGTATAGAATGTGTTTCTAGATTGTACTACCAGATGAAGGAGACTAGAATATTCCGTGATACTGTTTTGGGTAAATAAGGCGAGAGTCTAGCTGCCTCAGATGTGTATATAAATAGCGCTTTCTACCCTAACACCTTATAGTTCTGAATATCAAATATATCAGCAGTTCACATTGATCCATTGATAATCATCTGTAAACCTTCTGCCCATTAACATCTGTAAGCTCTTACCTTTACAACAGCACCACATCAAAGGCATCTTGAATATCAAGAATGACCATGTGTTATGATCCATGTATAAGCATTTTCTCTGTAAATTCACACATGTACTATTCTACCAATCAACGATGTTGCTATGCTTGTGCAATGTTTAGAAATTGGTGGTAGGTCATAAGATTGTTTGAAATCCATGAGGCAGGCTGATCTCTGGGAGATGTGATAAGGCACGGGATTAATTGTGCACAGATAATGACAATCCTCGATAAAATCCAACATGTAGATAAATAAGTGGTCGAGTACCGCCCACAGTGACACACATATAACATCTTTTCTTCATATTCATGCTCTAGAAAATAAAATCTTTTAGGGAGAAAAAAAAGCTACCATAACTCCGCAGTGGTACTTGCAAATGAAATCCGGGTCTGCTGGAGCACTTGCTCTGGTAGGCCTGAGGTTTAGATTCATGCCTTAGGCTCACAAGTGGACTCAGGTTTTATCAATACTTCAGGGGCATCCACAGATAGACATCCGTATACATATACACGTTAATCAGTCACCAATTCTGCAGTAGCAAACCCCATTCTCATTACCTGTGGTATCACAGAGATTGACCCTGTCATACCAATAGGGTCGTGAGTGCTTTTATTTTAAATTGAGTCATCCATTATAAACTTCTGTGATATTGTATCATAGCTAGATAGCTGCAAACGTAATTAAAATCTGATGCAAAAAAATAGTTCACTGATCTGTGGAACAACATCATTTTTGCCAGAAAACTGCGCAGCGTTCCATGCTGCCTTTATCATCAAGTTGACATTGTGAATCAAAATTTTTTATCTTCCTTACCCCTGACACAACATTTCGCTTTCTGTACTTCAACATGGCTGGTGTAGATGTTGGGTGAATAAATCCAGCAGTTTTGATGCGTCGAAAAAAGCGACAATAGCCACCAACAACAACAGCAGCGGGGCGCAGACAGCTCCAAAGGATAAGAATTTAGAAATACTGGGTTAACTGTTGAAACAGATTAGACTAATCGTGATGGGAGAGATGGATGAGGAGGACCTACCATCTATGGAGGATGCTAACAAAGCTGTGAAGTCATTCAATGCTCACAAAAGAGCCTGTATTTAAATGTCCCAGAAGACGTCTCCAATCAAGGAGAGGATAATAATGTTGAGCAGATTGGTTTGCAAAAGCTTGTG